TATGGGAGGGAGGGCAGCACTGCAGCTCTGCTCAAGCTGTGCTCCCCACAAAGGCTTCGGTTCAAAGCCCCCCAGAAGAGAGTGGTGCACCCCTTTACTACGATGAATTGGCACTCGGCATTTCCACTTGCGCTGATATAAGGCAAAAGCATTACCGTGCAAACATCTCTATTGATTTAGTTCTGAAAATATACTGCGTTGCTAAATATGAAAACATTAATGTAGGCTTTAATACTCTTACTTTTTTTTAACCAGTTTATTACCCTGAATTACTAATACTCTTCTAAGTAGTGCACGTTAATACCGTACATCATAAAATTCTTAATCGTGTAGGTATACCCTTCAGTTTATTCTATGTGATAGTCCACTGCCACTCTCATAATTCACAGATGCTGGAGGAATAATGTTCTCTACATAATATTCCAAAACATTACCAACGCAATCCTTAAAACAGTAACTCCTTGTCCATTGTAGGTTGTAAAAAGAGAGAGTAGTATCTTCATCAGGTATCACAGCTCTCATTTTTTCTATTGTAGTGATTGTTCATCGGTTACTAAGTTCTCGTTACTTTCAATTCTAAGTATAAACTCATTCCGTTACTTTGCCTTCAAGAAAAACTCATTCACAAAAGCCTGTAAAATAGAACTGAGATCACTGATACACTTTTCCGTGCTCTCTAGTGCAGTGAATTTAATACCCTAATCATCTTCAGACCACCACAGTATTCTCAAAGGCTGTGGTAGTACCCCAGAAGCAAAACTAACCTAAACCATTCTCTACCTAGTCTAAACCAAACTGGTACTATGCAGTAATACCTTACCGCACGTAGGTGGATTTTCTCTAAACGTGATATAAAATTCCCCCCTGTACTCTAAAGTGCAAGAGAGCATAGCAGACTAACGACTGAAGTTCTAAAACTCCACGGATTATGGGAGGGAGGGCAGCACTGCAGCTCTGCTCAAGCTGTGCTCCCCACAAAGGCTTCGGTTCAAAGCCCCCCAGAAGAGAGTGGTGCACCCCTTTACTACGATGAATTGGCACTCGGCATTTCCACTTGCGCTGATATAAGGCAAAAGCATTACCGTGCAAACATCTCTATTGATTTAGTTCTGAAAATATACTGCGTTGCTAAATATGAAAACATTAATGTAGGCTTTAATACTCTTACTTTTTTTTAACCAGTTTATTACCCTGAATTACTAATACTCTTCTAAGTAGTGCACGTTAATACCGTACATCATAAAATTCTTAATCGTGTAGGTATACCCTTCAGTTTATTCTATGTGATAGTCCACTGCCACTCTCATAATTCACAGATGCTGGAGGAATAATGTTCTCTACATAATATTCCAAAACATTACCAACGCAATCCTTAAAACAGTAACTCCTTGTCCATTGTAGGTTGTAAAAAGAGAGAGTAGTATCTTCATCAGGTATCACAGCTCTCATTTTTTCTATTGTAGTGATTGTTCATCGGTTACTAAGTTCTCGTTACTTTCAATTCTAAGTATAAACTCATTCCGTTACTTTGCCTTCAAGAAAAACTCATTCACAAAAGCCTGTAAAATAGAACTGAGATCACTGATACACTTTTCCGTAAAATATTCAAGAAACGATACTTCAGAATATTATGACCTAGGATTTTGAGGCGCTACTCCACACAAAAGATTATCTTCAACAAGTTACAATGAGTTAACTTTCCAGTATTGTTTTGAAACTTGACATTCCAGATGGACATTCATTATCGCTGCTGCAAAGTTTCTACAGTTTACCGCGAAGTGAGGTTTGAGGAAAATGCATATACTCTCTGTTAGAAATAACTGATCTTTCCTGTGAATATAGCAAATAGTTCGCAGTGGAAGTTTATATTGCCATCAGATCTCTTTTCTTTCTCACCAGCAACAGATAATGTTTTATCCTATTTTAAAATGAAAGCTAATAGCTGGTAAAGGCACAAACAAATTTGCACATCAGAATGAATACTTTGTGTCTCTCCAAGTGGCATGTAATATATCAAGAACCATCGTATGCTAATTACGCCTCATTTGTGGTTCAGAAAGGCAGTACACATCCTGAATATAGTAATGGTTTTGCTTAAGCAACAGTTAAGACTCGTATGACTTTGAAAGCAATTACTATTATTTAAGACCACTTGGAGGTTTCACCTTCAGATTCATTTTATTTTATAGGTTCTGTAACTGCAAAACACTTCAGCTTTAGCAGGCACAAAAAAGGTGAAGTGTGTTTAAGAATAAACTTCAGTTCCTGCTAAAACCATAAATGACTTTTAAATGAAGTATTCTGAAGCTCAGGAACGGTTGTTTCAGACACGGAGCCTCCACGTGGAACAAGCCACTGAAGGACAGCATCGTATCATAAATGCACCTTGGTTCTGAAATGACTATGAGCCAGTCTGCCTGTTTTATCACCTCACGTTTCACGTGCCAATGTGAAGATACTGTATTCATAAAATTGTTTATGTTTGAAATAACTAATTCTAATTCACATACATTTTCACGAATCTGAGTTCAAAAAGAGCCTAAACTTTAAATTTCTTTTTATTGCTTGGCTACACTGGAAAAACAGTTTTCAGGGCCAAAGACTCAGCCTATCTGCCTCCTTAGCTGTCACTTCACAGTGAGCTGCAGAAACAGGTTTCCAGAATCCTGCACATATACTTTAAATATATTTCTAATTGCTGGCATGCTGTGTAAACCTACACAGTTCAAAATTCAGCCATAGGTACATGTAAAGAAATGTGGATGTTTGGAAGGCATTCCATATTACTTCCATCTTCTCCCGCACAGACCCCTATTTTTGCCAGTTTTGGTGGTTGTGGACTCCGTACCACAGCAGCATCACGATTCTAAGCACACGATAGCAAACCCCATCAGAATTAAATGCTTAGCCTAACCCCATTTTTCCCTTTTCCCTTGCTCCCACTTCCCAGGAGCTGTGCCAATGCTACTTCACAGATTCTTTGTTCCAGCAGTGGCAGGGGGGTCCCTGTCATCCCCTTTTTCCAGGAAAGGGCTACGGCACAAGAAAACAGCTGTGCTGAGTGTGGGCTTAGAGGAGATGGGGGTGTCCTGGCAGAGCACATGCGAGACAGGAGGTTGTGAAGATGGAGATAGTCCTGCATCACAGGATGGTACTGGAAAAGGAGGTGGCCCCAATGCCCATTGATCTTTGGAATCCTGCGGCAGAACTCCTTTTTTTTCCCCACAAGGACCAGCTTTGTTGAAGAACAGATGGTTAGAACTAAAAAAAATACATTTTTTTAATGTTATTGTTCCCTTTTTTCTCACCTACTTATTGTACACTTCCCTTCTTTCTTCCGCACCTTCTCACCTCCCTCCTATCAAACTAATTTCTCCCTTCAGCCTTCCCTCAAATCTCGTATTATCCTATTTGTGTCACACTTTCATTTTTCATCTTTTATAGAATCATGGAATCTAAATTTAGGTTGGCAAACACCTTTAAGATCGAGTCCAACCATTAACCTAGGGCTGCCAAGTCCACCCCTAAACCACATCCCTAAGCGCCACATCTACACATCTTATAAATACCTCCAGGGATGGGGACTCGACCACTTCCCTGGGCAGCCTGTTCCAATGCTTGACATCCCTTTTTGGTGAAAAAATTTTTCTTAATATCCAATCTAAACCTCCCCTGGTGCAACTTGAGGCCATTTCCTCTTGTCCTATGGTTTGTTACTGGGGAGATGAGACCGACCCCCACCTCGCTACAGCCTCCTGTCAGGCAGTTGTAGAGAGAGTGGTAAGGTCTCCCCTCAGCCTCTTTTTCTCCAGGCTGACCTCAGCCACTCCCCATCAGCCTTGTGCTCCAGACCCCTCACCAGCTTCGTTGCCCTTCTCTGGACATGCTCCAGTGCCTCAATGCCCTTCTTGTAGTGAGGGGCCCAAAACGGAACACAGTATTCAAGGTGCGGCCTCACCAGCGCTGAGTACAGGGGCACGGTCACTTCCCTGCTCCTGCTGGCCACGCTATTCCTGATACAAGCCAGGATGCTGTTGGCCCTCTCGGCCACCTGGGCACACTGCTGGCTCATACTCAGCGGGCTGTGCCCCCTCCCCAGTGCCTGCAGGTCCCTCACACCCATTCCCCAGAACGACTCCTGTGCTTTCCAGAGACTCCTTTTTCCAACCTGCCCCTCCGAAATCCCCCATCCCACCGCCCCTAGCCCGCAGCATGCTGACAGTCCCCTT